TGTCAGAAGGTTGGGGCAGTGCAATCACGACGTAACGCATGTTCGAAGCCTTTGTTCTGCAGAACAAGATATTGCTGCTGCTAAAGAAGTTGGTAGTCTTCAACAAGAATGACAAGTTTAGCCAAAATAATACGTGTCCAGCGCTGTCTACTTCAAGATTGGGATGACAAGGATTCGATAGAAGGAAAGTCTAAAATCTCGACTAACAAAAAGATCGATTGGGAACACTTAAATAAACCTCTAAGTGATGGATCTGATGGTGATATTTGTCAAAAATAATGTTGTGAATGACAACTATTTTTCCAGATCGGCTAGCACTTCTAAAGCGGCTTTTTTGTTACATATCAACCTATTTTTTCCATTTCGCCATTCATTCGTCACTAATCCTCCAATATTGATTTCGATCTAAAATCCTGGCCTTTCATTATTTTCAATTTCTTCGTCCCGTTTAACTTAGCGTAGAATGACTATTATCTTCCGCCAGGGCAAACTTTGACATCTTTAGCTGTGTTCAGGACACCTTATTTTTTTTGTTACATTATGCGGTGAATAGTAATCCAAACTACAAATCTAGTTCTAATCCCACCGAAAGAAGTAAAATAAATTATTTCGTAGCATAGACACCAACCCATGCTTAAAATGTAACCATGTAACCATGTAATTTGGTATCTTATTATTTCAGGGAATAATAGCATAAAATTCCGATCGATTTCAGATATTTTGAATGCGAAGACCATGAAGAAGAAATTAAATACCTTAAAGATATGTATGCAGAATCTTGTTGTACATCCATAAAAACGATTAACAATCGCATCAATTAATTTTTTCCTTGTTAATTAGTGTTGTTTTTTTCGCTTTCGAAGGAAAATTGAAACAAAATATTGAAATTTTGTTTCAATTTTCGTTCGGATTAATGCATACAAATTACAATATTTGCGGTTGTTTTTTTTTATTTTCTTATTGGTTTACTACAAATTGGGTTGACCGCAATGAATTTTCAAATAAACAGTCACGGGGCTACATACATATAGATCCGACTATATGTACATATCTATGAACTAAACTGAGTGTGTGGCATGTGTTCATAGCACATCCATCTATTCCCCTCCCTCTCAGCTTTGCACATATGAATAATCCTCCCCACAGTCATACCACTACTGATACAGAAAATGCCTTCCTCAATAATTATGAAATTGTGTTTATTTCACTTCGTCTAGTTCTCAAAAAAGCTCTAAAGATCATCGACAAAATAAAAAGTTCGCTCACAATAAGTTCGGCAAAAGTTTCCAACGCATCTCAGTGGTATTGGCGAACAAACGAATGATGAACCACTGATCCGACCAGCCGAGAGAATTGTTTACGAATAACGAACGGAAATGAAAGCTTTTTTTCGGTTTAGTTGTTTTTGCTATTTTGACCAATTAATTCCCGATATTTATTCTAAACAGATGGGGAGACGACGATTCGATGGATCGACAGACGTCATATCTGCACACTTTTTTATAACCAAGTTGCAGGAATTTCCAATAAATCTTCTAAACAAAAATTATTTCTCCAAAGCAGCTGGATGAAAATTGTATTGAAAAATATTTAAATGAGGGGATGTTTTGTTTGTTTTATTTAAAAAAATAATCGGTTACTAAATATTCGAAGTCAATATGGAGTTTTTTTCCAGAATCCACCAGAAAATAAAAATAGTTCTGGATTTATTAATTATGTGAATTATAAATAAAAATTAAACAAATTATAAACAAGTGAGATAAACAAACATACATATATACACTGGTGTGTGAGGATAATGTGAACTGGCATAGACACTAGGGTGGAGGGTGAATAGTTAGACTATGTTAGACTAGTTTAAGTAGTTCTTAATTAATTTTTTTAAAATAAAATCAGAATTGAAATATGTGGCAACAAAGCGTCGAATTGGGCAATCTCGTTTCTGAAAGGTACGATCTTCAGATTCGTTCCGGTACGGATTCGCTCAAAAAAAGGAACTAGGTCATTTAGTTCGTTCAATACTTCAATTCAAAATATAGATGGACGATTGAATCAAAAGGAACTAGGTGAACGAGAGCAAGAAGTAAACGACTGGAGCGAAAGGAACTAAAGGAATGGGAGAAGCGGACCTAGTACCGATCGTCCCTAATTCGGAATCATTATTTGAACTAGTTCTGTTTTTTCTATAGACGGGAAACTTTTCATAGGTCCTCCAAGGGCTAAGAAATGCATTTTGGAATAGTTTAAGCTCATTCGATACTTCCTCTTAGGATATATCACAATTTTGCTCTATATAGGTCTACTTTTAGGTATAGATTCCATAAAACGTTACCCTCCGATTTTCGTTATTTTGTGGATTTAAGATATCCCTGGTATTTTGGGTTATCCAGGGATAGTAAATTTCCATATAAAAATTAAGGATTTTCAGTTTACATTTAGGTATAGCCCTTACACCCTCCGATTTTTAGGATTTTTTGGTACGTTTTTCAACCAAATTGCCTGTAATATTGGCCCAAGCTACAGGTTAGACCATATATAACGTTATTTTCGGTATTTTGTGGATTTAAGATACTTTTATAAACCGAATGGACTGTAATTTGATATTTTGAGTTCTCATTGAATGTCAAAAAAGCCCACAAAAATTATTGTCGTTGGTCTATTTTTTGGGTTAGGCCCTATATAAGGGTAATCTCCGATTTTAAGGATTTTGGACAAGTTTTTCAGCTGAATGAGCTGTAATTTCTTTATTACGTTTCCCATTGTGTGGTAAATCTTTCTACCAAAAATTATTAATATTGGTCAACATTTTTGGATAGGTTCTATATAAGGGTACCCTCCGGATTTTGGTATTTTGGGGATTTTAGGCACGTTTTTCAATCAAATTGGCTGTAATTTGATATTTTTGATAATCATTGAGTAGCAAATTTCTCTGCCAAAAATGATCAATATCGGTTAAATTTTTGATATAGCCCACATATAACGGTACCATCCGATTCTGATATTTTGAGGATTTAGGATATTTTTATCAACCAAATGGGCTGTAATTGATATTTTGGGTTCTCATCGGGTGTCAAATCATCCCACAAAAAAATATTGTCATTGGTCTATTTTTTAGTATAGGCACCATCCTCCGATTTTCGATAATTTGAGGATTTTGAACAATATTTTCAACAGAATTGGTTGTAATTTGTTAATTGGTATTCTCTTGGGGTAGGAACTTTTTATACCAAAAATTATCAATATCGGTTAACTTTTTGATATAGCCCCATATAACTGTACCCTCCAATTTTCGATATTTTGAGGATATTCGACCCGTTTTTCAAACGAGTTGGCTGAAATTTGGTATTTTGAGTTGCCATTAGGTGACAAATACTTTTACCTAAAATTATAAATATTAGTCTACTTTTTAGAGTAGGCCCCATATACGGTTGACCTCCGATTTTCGATATTTTGAGAATTTTGGACACGTTTTTCAACCAAATTGTCTAAAATTGTCTAAACTAATGAGAACTCAAAATACTCCTAGCAAAAATTATAAATATTAGTCCACTTTTTAGAGAAGGTCCCATATAAGGCTACCATCCGATTTTCCGTATTTTGAGAATTTTGGGCATGTTTTTGAAACGAATTGCCTGAAATTTTATATTTTGAGTTGTCATTAGGTGACAACCTGGTTCAATTTTTGATGTAGGACCCTAATATGGGGACCCTTCGCATTTCGATATTTTTGGGTTTTTGCCAATTTTACAACCGATTTTGTTCTTATTTGATATTTTGAATCCTCATTGGGTGTCAAATCTTCCTTTCAAAAATTATAAATATCGGTCGATCTTAGGAAGAAATCGCCACGTAAAGGTGCGCGTCATTTTTAGTTGGGTTCAAGGTCCTAGCTGAAATTTCCCAACCTGACTATCTATAGCTTCATCTTCTGAAAGCAATTTACCATAACATAGCTCTCTTATAAAAAATCGCTTGATTTTAGGTATTTTGAGTGTTTACTTCATGTTCGGTCATGCCGAACATTCTCCCGTCTACACCTAACCTGACGAATAACACTACATTTGTCGATTCTACAACTGAAGGGCAAAGAACAAATCACTTCATAAAATAACCTAATCACAAACAGAATGTTTGTTTATTTGTCGATTAGAAAAAATTTTTTTTTTTCAAAATCAAATTAGGAGAGGGGAGAGACCCCATAAATATTCCAATGAACTTTCAATATCAACAAATTAAAACCTCCACTAATTGGAAAATCTACATCAGAACTAAATAATATAAACAATAAAATAGTGAAAAAGAGAACAACAAATTCGAACAAACATTTTGGATACTCGAAAAAATATTCTCTAGGTCAAATCGAATAATTTATGAGGTTTTTTCTCTTCCCCATATTTGGGTAACCTTGAAGAAAAAGGGCCTCCAATAAAAAAAAAACACATCACATCATAAATTAAATTTCAATTCACACCTAATATACTACCAATTCGAAATAAAAAGTAGGTGTTCTGATGAACTTGAACTTGTTTCTCTGCAGCGTGGATACTCAACAAAAATGTGGAACAAAATTTAGGAAGAAGAAAAAATAAAAAAAAATCCTAAACTAAAATATGCAGGTGTATTTGAATGTCTTTTGGGCGGATAATGAGTTTGGCTGACTGCAGTAAATTTCCACTTCACTTCGAGAGGAGACACCATTGTGGGAGTCTTGATCTTCCTCGAAACGCCAACAACAGCATAATCACCATTCACCTCACCTTCATCACGATGATGATCATCATCATCCACAAAAATAGGTGAATGGGGGCGTTATTTTTAAAAATATCCCATAATAAAATTGCTTCTATTTTTAAAAATAGAATTTTTTAGTGCAGATTTTTTCGATTTTCTTCTAATTTGTATGGAATGTTGTTTTTTTAATGATGGACAGTTCTAGGCAAAAATGAGGTGGGCAAATTCAATCATTTTTGTATTGAAAGTAATTATATGTATTTTTTTGTTTAATTTACCTGAAAAAATGTAAACGCCTCTCGATTCGATGTTAGAAATTCTTGAGCCAGCGGTTCGGTTTTACAATATTTGACATGCATATCGAAATCACGTTCCAATCGCAAAAAGGTCTTCACTACCATATTCGGTTTGTCCGCATAGTATTTGACGCCATCATTGAAAACCCTGATCAAGCATGTGCAATCAAAATAATTTAATTTTGGAAAAATAATTTTGAAAATTGAGTGAAAAAAATGATTCGATTAAATTTTTATTTACAATTAATGCGTTTTGGGGTACTTAGAAACATATTTTTAGTTCTTCAGTTCAACATCTTAAAAAATCCACTCATTGAAAAAAATTATAAAAATCCACGCCTTGAAAAAATATAAAAATCGACGCTCCGAAAAAATATTTTTTATAAAAATCCACAGTTTGAAAAAATATTTTTTTATAAAAATCAACTTACAATTTAATTTTTTTATAAAAACCCTATTTTTTACAAAACCCATATTATTTTATAAAAACCTATACATATTTTATAAAAAAAACCCATATTTTTTATAAAACCCCTATTTTTTATAAAAACCCATATTTTTTATAAAAACCTATATTTTATATAAAAACCCATATTTTTATAAATACCCATATTTGTTTATAAAAACCCATATTTTCTTTATAAAAGCCTATATTTAATGTAAAAACCCATATTTTTTATAAAACCCAAATTTTTATAAAAGCCCGTATTTTTAATAAAAACCGATATTTTCTTATAAAAACCTATTTTTTTATATATAAAACCCATATTTTTTATAAAAAACCCATATTTTTTTATAAAAAACTCCATATTTTTATAAAACCTATATTTTTATAAAAACCCATATTATTTATAAAAGTCCCATATTTTATATAAAAACCAATATTTTTTATAAAAACCCCATATTTTTTTATAAAAAACTCATATTTTTATATAAAAAACCCATATTTTTTTTAAAAAAAATCTATATTTTTATAAAAAAACCCATATTTTTATAAAAAACCCATATTTTTTATAAAACCCATATTTTTATAAAACCCATATTTTTTATAAAACCCATATTTTTTATAAAACCCATATTTTTTATAAAACCTATATTTTTTATAAAAGCCCCATATTTTTTATATAAATCCACGCCTTGAAAAAATAATTTTTTTATATAAATCCACGCCTTGAAAAAATAATTTTTTTATATAAATCCACGCCTTGAAAAAATAATTTTTTTATATAAATCCACGCCTTGAAAAAATAATTTTTTTATATAAATCCACGCCTTGAAAAAATAATTTTTTTATATAAATCCACGCCTTGAAAAAATAATTTTTTTATATAAATCCACGCCTTGAAAAAATAATTTTTTTATATAAATCCACGCCTTGAAAAAATAATTTTTTTATATAAATCCACGCCTTGAAAAAATAATTTTTTTATATAAATCCACGCCTTGAAAAAATAATTTTTTTATATAAATCCACGCCTTGAAAAAATAATTTTTTTATATAAATCCACGCCTTGAAAAAATAATTTTTTTATATAAATCCACGCCTTGAAAAAATAATTTTTTTATATAAATCCACGCCTTGAAAAAATAATTTTTTTATATAAATCCACGCCTTGAAAAAATAATTTTTTTATATAAATCCACGCCTTGAAAAAATAATTTTTTTATATAAATCCACGCCTTGAAAAAATAATTTTTTTATATAAATCCACGCCTTGAAAAAATAATTTTTTTATATAAATCCACGCCTTGAAAAAATAATTTTTTTATATAAATCCACGCCTTGAAAAAATAATTTTTTTATATAAATCCACGCCTTGAAAAAATAATTTTTTTATATAAATCCACGCCTTGAAAAAATAATTTTTTTATATAAATCCACGCCTTGAAAAAATAATTTTTTTATATAAATCCACGCCTTGAAAAAATAATTTTTTTATATAAATCCACGCCTTGAAAAAATAATTTTTAAAAAATCCACGCCTGGAAAAATTATTTTTTAAAAAATCCACGCCTTGAAATTTTTTTTATATAAATCCACGCCTTGAAATTTTTTTTATATAAATCCACGCCTTGAAAATTTATTTTTATTTCAAAATCCACGCCTTGAACATTTTTTTTTATAAAAATCCACGCCTTGAAAAAATAATTTTTAAAAAATCCACGCCTTGAAAAAATAATTTTTAATAAATCCACGCCTTGAAAAAATAATTTTTTTATATAAATCCACGCCTTGAAAAAAAAAAATTATATAAATCCACGCCTTGAAAAAAAAAAATTATATAAATCCACGCCTTGAAAAAAAAAATTATATAAATCCACGCCTTGAAAAAATATTTTTTTTTATAAAAATCCACGCCTTGAAAAAATATTTTTTTATAAAAATCCACGCCTTGAAAAAATATTTTTTATAAAAATCCACGCCTTGAAAAAATATTTTTTATAAAAATCCACGCCTTGAAAAAATATTTTTTATAAAAATCCAGGCCTTGAAAAAATATTTTTTATAAAAATCCAGGCCTTGAAAAAATATTTTTTATAAAAATCCAGGCCTTGAAAAAATATTTTTTATAAAAATCCAGGCCTTGAAAAAATATTTTTTATAAAAATCCAGGCCTTGAAAAAATATTTTTTATAAAAATCCAGGCCTTGAAAAAATATTTTTTTTTTTATAAAAATCCAGGCCTTGAAAAAATATTTTTTATAAAAATCCAGGCCTTGAAAAAATATTTTTTATAAAAATCCACGCCTTGAAAAAAATTTTTTTTATAAAAATCCACGCCTTGAAAAAATATTTTTTATAAAAATCCACGCCTTGAAAAAATATTTTTTATAAAAATCCAGGCCTTGAAAAAATATTTTTTATAAAAATCCAGGCCTTGAAAAAAATATTTTTTATAAAAATCCACGCCTTGAAAAAATATTTTTTATAAAAATCCACGCCTTGAAAAAATATTTTTTTATAAAAATCCACGCCTTGAAAAAATATTTTTTATAAAAATCCACGCCTTGAAAAAATATTTTTTATATAAATCCACGCCTTGAAAAAATATTTTTTATAAAAATCCACGCCTTGGAAAAATTTTATTTATAAAAATTCACGCCTTGAAAAAATATTTTTTTTTTATAAAAATCTAAATATTGGGATCTACTATACCTCAAAACGCATTAATTGTAAAAATTTAAAAAAAAACAATGATGCGGAATGGAATAAAATGCAAAAAAAGTAGAACAACAACTTACTTATTGTGAAATTCGGCTATTTGTTGGAAATTACCAAAGATGATATCCTTACTATCACGCACTGTCCTTGGCGCGGTGGCACTATCCACAGCCTTTATATAACGATCCACAACATTTTGCAGATCTCTACCGTAATCCTCCTCAGTATCTAAAAGTTCTCGTATAATGGCCCTAAAATAAATGAGAAGATAGAGAGAGAAAGAGAGAGAGAGAACGATATTATTATCAGAGAAATGAAATCAGGCGAGAGCGAGATTGAATGGAGAAAGGAGGAAAAGCGATAAAGCGTCATGCATGCAATATTAAATGAAGCGAGCAAAAAGAGAGGAGAAAGAGTGAGAGAGATAGTGAGAGAGACATAATGAAATGGCGTGATAGGATATCATCAATATCATCATAATCGTAATACATACTTCTTTTGTAGTTCGGCACTTTCTTTATCGTTGCCATTCAGCATGGACGATACCGAACTGTCCTCCAAAATGTTTTTGGGTACCCAACCCTCTTTGGCATTGTCACCGAATACACGTACCAAATATTTAGCTGTTGCATCACTGCCCTGAACACCTCTACAAAAGGAGAAGGAGAATTAGTTCTTGAGGGAGAGCGAGAGAGAGTTTCCAAGTCACCTACTTCTTAACACTACTGGTCGTTTCGCTTGTCGTTTCCGTAGATGTTTTGAGAACCTCAACTATATCACCACGTTGCAAGGTAACCGAATCACTGGCTTCTGACTTAAAATCCTGATTAACAACTAAAATATCAAATGCCTGTAAAAAGGGTGAGAAAATGTGTTAGAGTTTGTTTTTCAGGATAAAATAATTGGGGAAACTTTTATAGAAGTATCCGTTATAAAATGTTTGCAATTGTATATCGCGGGAATAGAGAGGTGTGTAGTTTTATTCTCCTTTGACTCGTAAACTTTTATATATTATGGTTATCTACTTTATTGGGGTGTTCTTTTTTACTTACCTTCCTTCCATATATACTCCTTAAATATATTAAACAAATAATTCAAAAATATTTAAAAACCTGTGTGCGGAGCAGTAGTCGGACGGGGCCGACCATACGATACCCTACACAACTACCACAGAACTCTATCTTTCGGCGGATTTTTATTCCGAGCTTGGGTAATATTTAGTGATAATTTCAACCTCTTGCCCGATTAGAGGTCAACAGCACCTCTTCCTTACACTGACATAGTTTCCGAATATTACCAATATACAGTACAGCCCTTCTAATTACTTGTCCATAATCCCTTCACCGTGGGTTGTGTTGTGATGTTCGGCTTTCAATTGTGGCCTATAGATCGGCTCGAAAAAAAACACACAAAATTAGGTTTTCAGTCCACTTCATCACCGAAAATTATAGGCGTTGTCCTTGACCATAACTGGAACCTCATGGAACATTTCAAAGCGATTTGCGCTACATTTCCGACCTCTAGTGTGGTAATGGTTTATTAAATAATATCTGAATACGTAAGCACCTGTAAATATTTACGTGTAACTCCCACATCCGAGTATATACGAAAATATAATCGGGGTCAATTTAAAGGCCATCCACTCCTCTTGGATATACTATCAACTTCTCGGCTCTATGTCCTTCAGGAGTAAATATATACGATATAGAATACAAATTTTGCCATTTTTCACACACCTTGAATTTTTTTTATAAAAATCCACCCGTTTAATTTTTTTTTATAAAAATCCACGCCTTGAAATTTTTTTTAATAAAAATCCACCCCTTTAACAATTTTTTTTATAAAAATCCACGCCTTGAAATTTTTTTTTATAAAAATCCACACCATGAAAAACTTTTTTTTTAAAAATCCACACCTTGAAAAACTTTTTTATACAAATCCACGCCTTGAAAAAATTTTTTTCAATGCGAGGAAAAAAATTTCTTTCTAAAAATCCACGCCTTGAAAAAATTTCTTTCTAAAAATCCACGCCTTGAAAAAATTTCTTTCTAAAAATCCACGCCTTGAAAAAATTTCTTTCTAAAAATCCACGCCTTGAAAAAATTTCTTTCTAAAAATCCACGCCTTGAAAAAATTTCTTTCTAAAAATCCACGCCTTGAAAAAATTTCTTTCTAAAAATCCACGCCTTGAAAAAATTTCTTTCTAAAAATCCACGCCTTGAAAAAATTTCTTTCTAAAAATCCACGCCTTGAAAAAATTTCTTTCTAAAAATCCACGCCTTGAAAAAATTTCTTTCTAAAAATCCACGCCTTGAAAAAAAAATTCTTTGTAAAAATCCACGCCTTGAAAAAAGTATTTTTGTAAAAATCCACGCCTTGAAAAAAGTATTTTTGTAAAAATCCACGCCTTGAAAAAAATTTCTTTATAAAAATCCACGCCTTGAAAAAAATTTCTTAATAAAAATCCACGCCTTGAAAAAAAAATTCTTTATAAATATCCACGCCTTGAAAGAAATTTCTTTCTAAAATTCCACGCCTTGAAAAAAATTTCTTTCTAAAAATCTACGCCTTGAAAAAAATTCTTTATAAAAATCCACGCATTGAAAAAAATTCTTTATAAAAATCCACGCCTTGAAAAAAATTTCTTTATAAAAAT